CTTCTAGCTATGCAAATGCTTCCACCTCGTGTTCATCCTCGTCCGGAGTGGCCAGCGGCGGTGGATCGTCCTCGAAGAAGGCTCACAAATCTAGCAGCAAGTTCATGCGCAAAAAGACTGAGTTGTGGCATGAAGGAATTGCTCCGGGAGTGATTTCAGCTCTAAAGCCATTCCTCAGCAGCTCGCTTCCGGCTGATGTGGTGACAGTGCAGGATTCATCGCTGGATGCACTGTGTATGCTGCGAGTTATCCACGCTCTTAATCGCCACTGGGAGCATTTGTACGGATGTGTGGTGCGCCAAAACATCATCCCCCAGGCAGAGTTTGTACACCCGAAGATCACGGCCAAGGCGAATCGGCAACTGCAGGATCCGCTTGTCATCATGACGGGCAATCTGCCGCAGTGGCTGCCCCAGATTGGCATGGCCTGTCCGTTCCTCTTCCCCTTCGAGACGCGCCACTTGCTATTCTACGCCACCAGCTTCGATCGGGATCGCGCTTTGCAGCGTCTGCTGGACACCACGCCCGATCTGAACGCAGCCGAGTCTTCAGAACGCGTGGCTCCTCGCCTCGATCGCCGCAAGCGTGCCATTTCCCGCACGGAGATACTCAAGCAGGCCGAGCACATCCTTCAGGACTTTGGGCACTCCAAGGCCTTGCTTGAGATTCAGTACGAGAATGAGGTTGGCACAGGCCTGGGACCCACACTGGAATTCTACGCACTGGTCTCTGCTGAGTTACAGCGTACGGATCTTGGGCTGTGGAATGGCAGCGATAGCTACAAGCAGAACTCTGTGACTATTGTGGATGTGGTCAAGGCCAACAGCACTGTGTTGCACATTGAGGATGCCCTCGAAGCAACCACCATGGACCAGGCCCCTCCGACAGCGGGAGGAGCATCGCTTGTAAGCAGCACCACCACCACCACAACAACAACAGCAGCAGCAGCAACCGCGCAGCAGCATCCACCCACTCGCTCCAGCAGTCGCACGCATCTCTTGCGCAGCGTTGCTGGTCAACAACAGCTGTCACAGCCGGTGGAGCACAGCTCATCGAGCGCCGGCAGCAATGAGAATGCTCTAAACATGATTATCGCACAGCAATTTAGTGATATGAACTCTGCTGATCCAGCAGCCACTGATAATCCCAGCAGTACCACAACCACAACCAGTGTGGTGGAGCAGAACACAACTACGAATCACTCCAGCGCCACCACCACTACTACAACCACAACTATTATGAGCTATGTGCATGCGGTGCACGGCTTGTTCCCTCTGCCTCTGGGTAAATCCTCGAAGCTTCCGCAGATGACCAAGGCCAAGGCCAAGTTTAAGTTCTTGGGCAAGTTTATGGCCAAGGCGGTTATGGACAGTCGCATGGTAGGATTGGGATACTTCTGTCAATTTATGAAATGTGATCTGATTGGGGTTTTTTTTTCTCCCCTTAGTTGGACTTGCCCTTCTCATTGCCATTCTATCGCTGGCTTGTCAGCGAAGAGCATTCGATTGGCCTCGCCGACCTGATGCGTGTGGCCCCAGAGGTACAAAACACTTTGGTCCGTCTGCAGGATCTGGTGCGCCAGCGGGAGTACATTCTGACCGACCCAAACATTGATGCCATGGAAAAGACAGAAAAGGTGAGTAAGTCATAACAGAAAATGCAAAGGTTTTAAATATGTCGGTGTGATTATGAACAAAACGAGAAATTTACTTCTTAAATGTCCATTATAGCATTTAATAAACTCATTTCTTTGATTTTCTAGATTGAACAGCTGGACTTGGATGGCTGCCCCATCGCAGACTTGGGCCTGGACTTTGTACTGCCCGGACATGCCAACATTGAGTTGTGCCGCGGCGGTCGTGATACACCAGTGACTGTCCACAACCTCCACCAGTATATCTCGCTGGTCACTTACTGGTTCCTCATCGAGGGTGTCCAGAAGCAGTTCGAGGCATTGCGTGAGGGTAAGATTATAAAAATTATATTTTAACCAGAAAGAAAGCTGGCTTTGGCAAGTTTTTTATTTGGTTGTCTTGTGAATCTTCAGTTTTACTAACGATATAAATATATTTTTTTTTAGGTTTCGATTCCGTCTTTCCCATCCAACGGCTCCGCATGTTCTATCCGGAGGAGCTGGAATGCGTCTTCTGTGGATCGGCCAGCGAGCAACAGCAGCAGCGGTGGGAAACCAAGATGCTACAGGACAGCTGTCGCACAGATCACGGATTCCACCAGGAGTCGCAGGCTATTCAATATCTGTACGAGATCCTGGCCTCGTACAATCGCGACGAGCAGCGTGCTTTCCTGCAGTTCGTGACAGGTTCTCCCCGCCTGCCGACTGGCGGATTTAAGGCCCTCACGCCGCCATTGACTATCGTGCGCAAGACGCTGGATGGAAACCTAAACCCCAATGATTACCTACCATCTGTGATGACCTGTGTCAACTATCTAAAGTTGCCCGACTACTCCAGTCGCGAGGTGATGCGGCAGAAACTGAAAGTGGCCGCCAACGAGGGCAGTATGTCCTTCCACCTCTCGTAAGCAAGCAACGGAACAAAAACCAACCCCTTCCGCAAAAACAAGATCTGCAATGACACAAACAGGAACTACACAAAATACTGTATGGGATATATTTCATTCACACGGCTGTATTCCGCTACAAAACTTCTGCAGCACGGTTTAACTGGATGGGTCTTATTTGTTTGTTTTTCTTACGAAAGTTACTTTCGTCGCGCGCGCTTCTCCCCCCCGCCCTTTCACTTTTCCTTTTTGGCAAGGGCGCGCCATGCTAAATTTCAATATAAATATATAATTCAAATATATTTTTTATAAACAAGTTTTGCAAAAAAGAAGAAACAAACGAAAGAAAAGGACAGGGGAATGCTGACGGGAATGAAGTCAAGATAGAAACTAATGATGGATACACCCCATACCTCTCCCATAAAATGTTACCTTAAATAAATTGAATAGTAAAAATCGATTATTCAATAGCCGATCATTTGTCCAACCGAAAACGCACAGATCGGTGAATTGTCGATCTAAGCGTTTCGTTCTAGTTAAATTTGTTTTAGTTTGCTTTTCCACCCATTCTTATTATTCTCCGCTAATTCTAATACTTAACTGTAATCAAAGAATTATTTTATTAAGTTTTTTTATTTGTTATGTTGAACATTTTCTCTGGCGTTTAAATATGAGTTTAATTAATTTGTAAGCATCAAATGTGCATAAACGCTTATTAGAAACAAAAATGAATGAATATAGATTGAGCAGGAGTAATTGGAGCATTGGACGTTGGAGAGTAGCCCCTATGTGGAAGAGGGAGAGTTCATCATTATTTAAATATAGCAACCCAAAATAAATGATCTAAATAAAAATCGCCCACCCTTAAAAGTTACATTTAATGAATTAATAATATATTTAACAAAAATATACCTTAATGATCTATCTTGCATGCCTACAAGCAAATTGAATGCAAACTTTGCAAGCTGTGTTACATCAAAAAATAAAAACAAAAGCCATTATCGGTGTATGTTTAAATTGAAGAAAGTGTGAAATGGATTAAGAAAACCCGGATAAAATGAAGTTAGTGTTTAGTACACATCCCTTTTACATAAACTATGCTTACATATATATATAAATAAAATATATTTAAACTGTAACATTACATAACTTTATAGCACTTGAAGCATATACATATACATACATTTTTGTGTTGTCTAACAGAAACGAAACCGAATGCTAATAAATAAATTAAATAAAAATGGATTAACATTAAAACAAAAAAGCGAAATCGATCTTACATTAAATCTAGATACAAATCTTTGCAGTACTGAAAACTGATTACTGACATGTGGTATATATATACATATAACTATAAAATCATATATATAAATAAAATAATTATATTTAACTGAAAACAATGGCATCTCTCGAGATGCTAGTCAAGTTATAATACAAAAATGCTAGAATTAAACTATCAAATAACAGTAATATTACATAATACCTATGTAGTTACATCAACAAACACATTTGCTCTATAATAACGACATGAAAGTAAAACAAACCAACCAAGAAGCAAGCAAATAAAACAAAAAGATAATATGAAGAAACAAGTACATTGCATTTTCTGACTCTTTTTTTGTTTTTATAGGAATCACCTGTATTTAGCCAGGGGCACGGTAGGTAGGTATGTTTGGTTAGGGATAAGAAGTGTTCAAATCACCTTTCTTGGCGCACAGTGATGTGCTATCATGTAATCTGTGCATAAGATCGCTTTCCTAACAGTAACAAAATATCAGACGTAGTTAACTTGCTAAAAACAATTTCGGTGAGCATTAGGCAACCGTCCCTTAAAGAATAACACATGGAAAGATATGGTAAACAACTTTTAAAGATAGAATTTTAAGTGAAATAGTTCAAATCGGGGGCGCTGATATCAGTACAAAAAAAAGCGCTCGAAACCACGGCGTAGTTGAAAAAGGCTGGCACCACTGGAAGATGGCCCAAGATGGACCTGGCTATTTATCCTGTTCTTCCATCTACCTGTTGCATGGGCAATTTCATGTTGTTGCCCAAGACGTTTTCACTTTTTTAAAGATGGAAAACAATTTAAAAGAAATCCGCTTAAATTTAAGTATTGTTTTGTATGAAAATCTTAAAATGACTGCCGTATTCGCTGGGCACTTACTCCAGATTTCAGCGAATTCTGATATTTTGGTGATAAAATGATCAAATTATTAGAAACTAATATCGGAGCAAAATGCTTAAATACATTATAAACAAATTAAAAAAAAATTTTTTTTTCTGTGTACTTGTTATTTCATTTAGCACTCGTTGTTATGGAAAGCAAGTTGGCTTTTCTGGTTGTCATTGAAACTGAAAACAAAGTAAAGGTTATTCTAGAATGTTTTAGTAATTCTCACCAGACGAAAAATTTTTCCGAAAAACAGGGACGTGAATCGACATAATCTGGCCTTGCCGAGAGGCTGATCTTAAGAACGATGAATCGCACAGACGATATGAAGAGGTCCTCGCTCAATGACTTCAAACTGGAAGCGATGGCCTCCATGGGCTGGGCGGTGGATTCGGACATTCCCATGGCGAATGCCGAGAACCTGGCCATCCTGAAAGAGTTGGCTACCCTGAGGGCCCTAAAATTGGAGGTTCAACAACACATGAATTCGCTGGACGAACGCGAGAAGGCGGTGGAACGACATACTCGTAACATTGAGGGCACTATTCAGCAGAATATAGTAAGCTAATAATTTAACAGGGTATATTTTCGTCTTGTCTTTACTCGTTACCTCTTCAGACATTGTATACCTCGATGAAGGACGATGTTATCAAGGAAGCGCACAATGTCCAACTTGTAATATTAGAACGCAACAAGATCAAGGAGGATCTGCGGAAGAATCAAAAGGAGCTAGAGGAATATACTGAATACGCCGAGGTTACAGAACGTAAGTTGTAGAATCTAGATGTACTTTTCGTTATCAACCACTGCTTTAAATGGGATCCATAGAAATTAGGTATAGAAAGTATTTGCCAAGATCTCATTGTAATCGAGAGTTCATATTCATTGAGATTATAATTATGCAGTTTGTTTTCGACGACCTATGAAACGTACTTCACACATAAGCGTATCCACTGGGGGTGAAATGGGTGATAGATCACTCTCCCCTCAGGTGAAAAATGAAAGGATTTTTGGTATTCAAAAAATATGCAACATAGACATTTTCATGATATCACCCACCACAACGTAATCTTAGATCCCCCACTGACTTCAAAAAATTACTTTGGGAGTTATTAATAAATTACGTTCGATAAATAGGTTGTGAAAATATAGTTTATATATAAATATAAGGTCTATTAAGTTTAATGTTAGATATTCTTATGTTTGGAATTTATTTGTATTATTTTATTATCTCAATGCCAGGTAAGATCTGTCAGAACAAGCGCGAGATAGATGAGCTGACTTCTCGAATCAAGTCGGCCAAGACCACCTTGGTGGAGTGGACGAAGGCCATGGAGGACGGGAACAAGGGCTACCAGTTGATCGAAAAGTACTATCTGGATGATCAGCAGAAGGCCCGGGAGCTGAACACCAAGCGGCAGCTGCTGCAGGCCGACATAGACAAGCGGCGCAAGCAAGTGGTCCTCCTCTACGACGAGCAGATGACCCTGGAGAAGAATCTGGAGCGGACCGCCTGCCTCTATAGGTCTGCCCACGCAGAGCGTCGCCAGATGGTGGAGACGTGGAAGAGCGCAGTGAATCAGATGACCCAGCGAGAGCACGACATCCAACGCAGCGAGGTGGAGTGCGCTGAGCTGGCCCAAAAGGCGCAGCAAACGGCGCTGATCTACAAGGATCATGATAACCGGCTGACCGAGGTGATCGACAACAACCGCCAGGTGGAGATCGGCATCGAAGCCCTGAACGACGAGACCTCCGACATGAAGAACCGCATACAGGTCCTGATCGATGCCTCGCTGCTAAAGGAGCGCGAGATCGATGGCCTGCGCCGGGAACTGGAGAATCTCTCGAACCGGGTGCACCTGCAGCGCATGGAGAACCGCAGTCAAGTGAAGAAGCGCGATGAAAAGGTGCAGGAGATAGAGGAATTCTCCTCGGTGATGGAGAAGGTTGATGCCCGGCTGAAGTCTATACAGAATAAAGCACTCAACGCGGAGCAGCGTCTGCTCATTCTGGAGGAGATGATGGAGGCCGAGGAGGCGGCTCTGAGGAACCTGGACAAGGAGCAGGAGAAGGTCAACGAGATGCTGTACCGCACACAGAGGCAGGTCATCGAACTGCAGGACGAGGAGAAGATCCTGAAGGTGCAGAACGACTCCCTGAACTCAAATCTGGCGGCCATCAAGCGCAGCCAGCAGCAGGTCAACCACGAGCTGAAGCGCCAGACGGAGATCCACTACAGCCTGTCCTTCAAGTGCCTGGAGGCGGAGCGGAAGTATGGAGAGTTCAAGGGTCAGGCGGACGACCCCGAGGTGGAGGCCATCAACTTGGCCCGGCTCAACGCCCTGGAGCAGGAGTACGAGAAGCTGCATCGCCTCATAGCCACCACGGAGGCCCAGAACAAGAAACTGAACTACAACATGAACAACTTGGTGGTGCAGTACAACGCCGACGAGAAGGAGCTCGAAATGGTCAGGTTCAAGATCAAGGAGGCTCAGGTCTACTGCGAGGGCACCGTCAAGAGATTGCGCCAGATCCGATATGAAAACTCCGAGCTCATAGTGGATCTCAACATGGTGAAGATGCGGTGCAGCGACCTCGAGGTGGGAATCGGCGGCTGCGAGCAGGGCACCTACGACCTGGATCAGCATCGACTCGCCTTCCGGCGGGCCATCAAGGATCGCAGCGTCGAGATCCGCAGCCAGGAAGACGTGCTGCTCCTCAAAAAGAAGCACCTCAACGAGGAACTCAGCACCCTGCGCGCCGATCTTGGCGAGCGGAAGAAGCAGATAGAGGCGATGAAGGCGAGGTTCGAACTGACCACCCAGCTGCTGGGCAAGAACGAGGACGGATCCATCATGACCAGCACCCAGCTGAAGGTGGAAAGCGCCCAGGAGCGCCAGATGCTGGCCGACGAGGGCGACGCCCTCAACAAGAAGGTCCTTAAAGCTGAGAAGGAAGTGGTGGCCCTGGAGAACACGCTGCGCCAGTTTGACAAATCCAACGACAACTATCGCAAGACATTCCGATCTGTGGATGAAAACTCGAAGGGTAAGTTTAAGAGGTGTGGGAAAAGTTCAGTGGGTATCATCGGTGGTTATTCCAGGGATTTGGTTGTAAGGGGACGACCGCCAAGTTCCTAAGAATTTGCGGTCCATCGAGGATAGAGTGTTACCCAAAATTCTGACTGAAATTATACTACCCTCTATAAATTATTCCTGGATCCTTAGAATAATTTCGACATAAAAATTTAAATTTTCTTTAAGTGTTGAGGAGTTGTAATTGTTATTAGATTAGTTTTTATGGTATATTCATATCATATTGTCTAAAATACCGCGATTTTCATCAGTGGCGATTCCAGGATTTGGTTTTTACATGAAATTCGGGGTTGATTCCCCTCTCTTAGGGCCGTTTTCTCTTCCGTTTAATAAGTTTAAAGTAGGGTTTAAACAATGATTTTCCATACGATTTTAAGGTTTTAAACATACTTTAAATGTAACAAACGGAGGAGAAAACGGCCCTCAGAGTATTAACCAAAATTCTGACTGAAATTATACTACCCTCTGCAAGGGTATAAAAAGGCAACGTGACATATAAATTATTTCTGGATCCTTAGAAACAATTTCAACATCAACATTTAAATTTAAGTGTTGAGGAGTTGTAATTCTTATAGATTAGTTTTTATGATATATTTATAATTTATGGCCTAAAATACCGCGATTTTCACTTCTGAATTCCAGATCGCGAACGCGCCGAGATGGAGCTAAAGGAGCTGGAGGCATCCTACTGCCGCGAACTGGAGAATCTGAAGGTGCTGCGCTGCAAGGCTCAGCACTACGACCAGAAGCACGCAGCCCAGCGAGCTGAGGAGGAGGATCTGATTGCCAGGATGGAAAAAGCGAAGGCAAGACGAGCGGAGCATGCAGCAATTCTGGAGAAGATCGAGCGCGAGTTGGACGACCAGCGACTGAAGTTGGACAGGGCGCAGCGCGAGATCAGGACGCAGATGCGGGAGATCAAGGCGCGGCCTTTTAGCGAGGAGTACCTGGCGCAGTTCGAGCGGGATCTGAATCTTCGGGAGCTGGAGACGCGCAACACGAAGGCACTGAACATGCTTACCGATCTGGCCAGCAGCGACGAGGCCGGCGCAGAAATAATGGGAATGATGGTGCGGAAGGGCATCAAACTGCCGATGCACCTGAAACGCACGGCCAGTCGTGTGTCCTGGAACAGCAGCTCCTCGGCCAAATCAAAGTCTTCACAGGATCAGGATGCCGGCTCCTATCTCAGCGTTAAGGGAAAGTCCTTCCTGTGCGAGGGAGTGAGTGCCCGGTCCTCGGCCTCCGATATGAGCTCGCTCAAGGACGACAGCTCCTCCACCACCTCCCAATCCGCTCTCAGCATCGTATCCCTCGAGTTTCCCATGCAGAAGAAAAAATAATTTCTTTTAATATATTTATTTAAATTTTCCTTTGGTTATTCAATGATCTCAGCCCGTTTGCTTGTTTGGACTTCACGTGCTTGGTCATCGCAGTGTTTACAAATTGACCGTCTAAACGGAACAGCGAATAAAATGCGTTGCCAAAGCGGGTCAAAACAAGAGAGCAGCGCGGCAATAAAAATAGCCTACAACAAATTCGATGGGGGTATACTAGTATCACAGTGCAGAAGTGTGTATTTTGTGGATCGGGTATTCAAACTCGACTATCGTATACTCTCTCCCCCCAGCAACCAAATATCTTGAAATTCTATAAGCACCTAGACACCATTGTCATCTTTTAAACAGTTTAAAAACTATTCACAAATTGGCAAAAAAAAAATGAATTAAAAAAAGAAATGTACACACCTTTAAAAAATATTAAATGAGTGCCTGTAAGACTGAACCGGTAAGCAATTGAAAAAGGAAACAATTAAGATGGTTTGTAACCAACAATTAACATGGACCTTTTTAGTTTTACCTCTTGAAAATATTTAAAATCAGATATGTTAGGGTTGAGTTTTCTAATACCGTGATATTTCATGTTAGGAACAAATAGATTGACGTAATTTAATGTTCTAAGCATGGTTTCTTAAAATACAACGAAAACGGAAGTTAACTTCGGCAAGCCGAAGTTTTAACAAAATATTTCATAATTCAAAAAATTAAATTTTTCTACCCATCGTTCCTATGGGAGCTATAGGATAAAGACGTCCGATCGGCACGCGCTTTTACCCTGATCATGGTATGCGCAAAAAATACGATTTGGAAAGATTCATGTCACTGGGTGAAAAATCTTTAATTTTGGCAAGTTATATCCGATTGTTCCTATGGGAGCTATAGGATATAGACGTCCGATCAGGTCGATTTTCAAACTTAATCTGCGTACACATGTTCTAGGATGACTGTGAAAGTTTTAAGTCGCTAGCTTTTAAACTGAGCTCGCAAACGGTATTGAAACAGACGGACAGACGGACAAACGGACGGACGGATCAAAAATATATATACTTTATGGGTTCGGAAACGTCTCCTTCACTGCGTTTCAAACTTCTGACTGAAATCATTATACCCTCTGCAAGGGTATAATAAATAAGATAGTATCATGGTAACCAATATTCCAAATAGATTTTTGTACAGGTCATTAAAATCATCTGGTTCTCATGATAGGTCGCTGATCTGTTTCAAGTAAGTCTGATAAATGGCGTATATGATGTATCGTATGCAGATTGCTCCTCTGTGTCGTGCGTTACAAAGACTAGAACGAAGGCTATATGGCCGCCAATGGCAGAATGTATCGGCCAAAAATATTTATATATACACATGCTCAGAGCTATATTTCGAAATAGGGTTCCCAGAGGCAGGCAGAGAAAGAGAGTGCACCGTTGGAGAGTTGAGTTTTCGATGCTACGAGTGTTTTCGAAAGTCTTTTTGTCGATTCGACGATCCGCGCCGGGCATTTCATTAATTTTCATTATTTCGTTTAGCTGGCATCGGTGCCGAGAACTCAGATTGCTGGGCCCAAAAGTTTTTAAAAATTTTCACTTGCTGATATTTTTAGAAAATTCTGAAAGCGGAAAGACTGCGCTGTCTGGGAATGGACTCCTGAATAGATGTTCACCGAGCAAAAAGGAGGAATATCCAACTGAAAGGTGACGAATTTGCATAAGACTGCAGGCGGAATGTGTTCCACATCGGTGCTGTGTCCGCTGTGCGCGGTGCCCAGTTTCGGGAGTATTGACGCACTGCAGCAGAGGCTGATCAAGGCGGCCAACGGACCACTGACCTGTCCCTTCGCCAATTGCAAGGAGCTTTTCCTGGGCTTGGACAAGCTCACCATCCACCTGTTTTCGCACACCAGTCTGATGGGCGAGGATGCAGTCACGAGCCCTGTTAGTGTCCAGCCCGTTCCGCCCTTGGTTGCCGTAGCTGCTCCCAAGAAGAGGGTTAAAAGAGCCAAGAGCAAACCCATTGTCCCGCCCCCGCCACCTGTTCCCCCAACTCCGCCCGCCAATTGTGACATTTGTGAATTCAGTTTCCGGAACAGCGAGCTGAGGGACATGCACATCCGGTTGGTTCACGAAAATGCAGAAGGAGAGCAAAAGGCAAAGGAGCCGCAACAGGAGGAGACTGTAAGTAAATTGAAATTATATATATTATATATTATCAAACTATAATTTATTGAATTTCATAAAAAATTAAATGGAATATTAAGTTAGTCCTTACGGCATCGTTACCTTTAAAGGTTACGTTAAAGAGCACAAAAATGTGCCTCAAAAACCCATTCGTTAATTTTAGAATTTACATACCATTCTAACGATATCATCTTACCAAAATAAACTGAAAATTTAATAATAAGTAGTATTTCATGAGACCTCATTTATTATTTAATTATTTTACATTCAACTTTTCTCTTTCTTTTTGATATACTAAAAGTTTTGTTGTTTTGAATACAGGATCAGGAGCCCTACAAGTGTCATCTGTGCTCCAAGACGTTTCGCATGAAGGGCTCACTTCGAATACACCTGAAAGTAGTGCATATGATGGGAGTGCCCTGCTCCAATCCCAGCCCCGCACCCACCGCCACTGCAGTTAGCCCCTCGCCCAAGCTGAGCATTTGCGATCGCATCCGGCACAAGGAGGCGGGCGCCTCGGGAAGCGCCAACTCAACGTCCACCAGCACGCAGCCCTATGCCCTGAGTGGGGCACTCAGCATGCTCCAGCAATCCCCCAGTTCACCGGAATCATCGGGTACGGCCACCCCAAAGTTGTGGGAGTGCGATGTGTGCTCCAAGTCCTTCACCACCAAGTACTTCCTGAAGAAGCACAAGCGGCTGCATACCGGCGAGATGCCGTATACGTGCGCGATCTGCGCCAGGACCTTCACCTTCCAGCAGTCGTACCACAAGCATTTGCTCTACCACAGCGAGGTGAAACCGCATGTCTGCGGGGTTTGTGGACGAGCCTTCAAGGAGCTGTCCACGCTGCACAACCATCAGAGGATTCACAGCGGGGAGAAGCCTTTCAAGTGCGAGGTGTGCGGTGGGTATCGATCATACTCCTTTGCTTGATCTTTTTTAAACAAAAATCCATTTACCAAACTCATCCCATTCACGGATTCATCCACAGGCAAGTGCTTCCGGCAGCGGGTGTCCTTTCTGGTCCATACCCGCATCCACACGGGGGTGATGCCCTACAAGTGCGAGCTCTGCCAAAAGACGTTCAGGTACAAGGTCAGCCAGCGCACCCATCGATGTCCCACCGAGGAAGCCCAGACGCCGGAGCAGCTGATCAAGGCCTTCCTGGAGGGGCACGACTCGCCCACTCAGCCCTCGCCGGCGAGCGTCGAAATAGCTGCCATCAACAGCGGCTCGATGGCGGATCCCGAACAGGAGGCGCTGCTCTCGCAGTCCATCGACGACATTGTGGTGGAGCAGTGCCAGAAACTGGGCATCTGTGGCGTGGAGCCGAGGGAGGAGCAAGGCCATCTCGTATGCCTGCAGCCGGTTGCGGTGCTGCACTTCAACGAGAACGGTTCCCCCATTCAGCAGCTCCAGAACCTGAGACTCTACTCGCCGCAGCAGACGGAGCTGCCCAATTCTGACGGAGAAGTCTTCCAGCGCTTCCTGATGGACGCCACGTAGCTGGAGCATAAGTATCTGGATATTTATTTACACCTTGTTTAGCATTCGGTATACGGATATATCAAATAGCACCAAGCAATGTTCTGCGCAGAATTCTTCGAAGGATCGAAAAATACATCGATGTCCTAGATTTATTGGCTTTTTAGTCTACTATTTGGATTGTTCTAAACCGCCTATTTAATTTTGGATTCCAAATAAATTTTACCTAAAATACAAATTTCTGTGTCAAACGTTTCGAAATCAAGTAGATGATTAAGTTTTCAAACTAACCAAACAATGGGGTTTCAACAAATTGGGAGGAAATTTGGTGGGAAGACAATCCTGTGACAGCGCTGATATTGGTTCAGTTTATTTCACAAATAGTAATTCTTTTTTTTTAAATTCGGATCAATTTAAAAACTTAAAATAAAATACTAATGTTCAATGCCTAAACAAAATTCTAATGCTTCCTCCAAATACTTTTTGGGTCCAAATCAGAGCACATTAGGATATTGGAATATCAGAGAAATTATTTGATTGTTTTAATTTAAAACTTTTAAATTTGGTTTTGAAATAGTCAAAAATAAACAAACTTTTCAACAACAAAGCTATTATTTATAATAATAAACTACATTTGGGAAAGTAGCTTTAAAACTGAAAGACTATTGCGTAAAAACGGACATACAAAATTAAAATACTCTCTGCAAAGGTATAATTAACGAGTTAATTTTCAATTCAATTTTAAAGAAATCTACCACTAATTGCTTTTGTAGGTAATTTTTGGATTTTTGAGTGTTCCTACTAGTGAATTACTAGATTAGTTTGAATAGTTCTTGAACTTGTGTGCCCAAGTGTAAATCGTAAGGAACCAGACATAATTCCAAATTTTCTTGTAATTTGAGCCGTTTTTGTACCACGATTTTAATAATTCGTTCTGCTCAAATAGTATTTAAATCAATTTACTCCCGTACTTGTTTGATTACAATATTATTTATTGTGAAACGATCTTTTGAAATTACTCATTCTGAACCGCTTCCAGAACTGGATCCGGATCCCGTAGGTGAGCCACTGCGGGAGCGACTGGGCGATCGAGATCCAGAGCCAGATCTGGATCCCGAACGGGATCGAGAACCGGACTTGGAGCGAGAGCGCGATCGCGAGCCAGACTTCGAGCGGGATCTGGAACGTGACCCCGATTTCGATCTTGATCCAGACTTCTGGGAGCCTGCAGGTGAATTGGAGCGTGACCGGGAGCCGCTTCCCGATCGAGAGCCAGACTTTGAGCGGCTGCTGGCCCGAGATCCGGAGCCAGAGCCCGAGCCGGAACTGGATCCGCTGCGACTGCGAGTTCGGGAGCGGGACTTGCGATCGCGAGCTACCTGGGCTGGTGAGTCCCCACCATCTGCTGCCTGTGTACCGCCGGATGCATTCTCGCCCGTCTTCTCCGTATCGCCTATAGCCTGGGTCTGCTCCTCGGTCTCTTCCAACTCCTCATCGACCTCCTCCTCCTCTTCCTCGCCAGGAACTTCTAGTTGGCGCTCACGATAGCGCTGCATACGATGTTCCATTCCGTCCAAAGGACGATGCTTGACAACCTGGAAAAATAGGATGTTAATAATGTTAACCAAAATAAATATTCCTACATTTTATTCAACGAATAAGCATAAAATAATTATATGGTAATAAAAAGTGCAAAACATCGTTTACTTACCAGCTTGGTATTGTTGGGCTGCTGGCCGACCTTGACGCGACGCTTGTTGAGGCGCACACGCGTCTCCAGCTCGTTGTAGTATATGCCGTCCGGCCGCATCACAAAGAAGTAGTTCTCTTCGTAACCCTTGGAGGCCTTGGTCTTCACGTTCCAGTTGTACTCTCGGGCAATCTTGTACTCGTACTCCTCCTCCTCCTTATACAGCTCTCCGGCGACGAAGTCGGTGCGACGCTTCTCCAGCGTCTGCTCCGTGGGCAGGAAGTAGGCGACAAACTGCTCGCCGCTCTCGTCCATCACACCACGAATCATGGCCTGCGACATCTCCTCCAGCTGGGCGGGCACATTCTTGCCCACGGGGGCTGGATCGCTGTCGAAAATGACCTGGGCGCAGGGGTACTTCCAGTTGGTGAAGTCGGGGAAAATGGGCAGCACCTCCACGGGCACCACGTTGGGCTTGGAGTAGTGCTTGGTGATATCGCTCTTGGTGTCGCTGAAGGTCTTCTCGATGGCCTTGATCTGGGCATCGCGATCCAGATAGAGGGTCTCCTCCCTGAGCGACTTTTTGACATTGTAGCCCACCTTCGCCTCAATGTTCTCCAGGTTCTGCGGCTGGAAGCGTGTCTGCTCCGTGGAGATGTACTCGGACTTGCGCAGCCAGGAAACCGTTCGCGAGTGCTGGCGCGAGCGTACAGAGTCCGTGGGCGTCAGGGTCTCCTCCTCCAGGAGTTTCTCATCGGCGGGGTCCAGCATGGTCATGGAGTCGGCCTGATAGAGCTCCCGATTGATCAGGTCGACCGTGACACCCAAATCGTGCTCCGTCAGCACATCGTACTTGAAGTTCCGCTCCAGCGACGTGGGATTGTACTGCACGAAGCGGTGGCTGTCGAAGGGATATTGCAGGAACTTCAGGTCGAAGGGTATGTCCGGCAGGTTGTTCCCATATTTAACGCGGCAAATGATCTCCGACCTGAAAAGTATCAGTAAGACCTGGCGTCTGATTCGCTTGCTATCCACTTACTTGCGCTCCGTTTGCCGCTGGGGTCGCTTGTCGGCACTGCTAACCGCGGAATTGTTGATCGTTGGCGGCATTTCGGTTTCCAACTGTTCACTCTGCTTAATTCCTTTGTTTTATTGCGTTAATTCCATTTACTGACCAAATCTAACAAAATCTAACAATCATTTGTCCAAACCTATCGATAAAGTTGTGACTCAGTATGACCGCACTTTACCGGCCAAATAATCCGTAAACATACATATAGTCGGTATTTTTCATGCAAATGTCAGTAGTGGATGCATCCACTTATTCAGTGCTACTGTAATTGGAGCGCCAGACAACTCTGTACTCAGCTAAAGGAAGTGCGAGGGAGACGGATATATGCATGCAACTGCTTGCACTGCTTGAATTCCATTATTTGCTCATAACTTTATTAAGAATGGTCCGAATAAAAAATATTCTTCTTCATTCCAAAAACTTTAAAAATGTGAGCGCCACCTTTTAAATTCCTTTAAAAAGAATTGTGGGCGTTAGAGAGGGCGTGGCACTCGAAGAATCTGCATGCTGAATCCCGACTTTCTAGCTTTTATAGTTTTTGAGGTCTCATACGAACAGACAGACGGACATGGCTAGGACATATACTTTATAGGGCCGGAAACGCGTTCTTCTTCCTGTTACATACTTTTGCACGAATACAATATACCCTTTTGCATAAAAATTGCTTACTGGGGGAGAGCCTAACCTCCGGTAGTCCCACGCTCCGCTTTTACTGTGCCTCTGTCTAGCCATTAATATTACGGCAAGACCGAAAAGACTTAAAAAACTAAAAAATGGGAGAGCCATTTTTTGATTAAAAATCTAAATGTTATACGTGTCGTATTAGCAATTTTTAAAGCAATTTTAAGACAGCAATTTATTTAAGATCGACTTAATCATGGGCGACACTTAAATCTCTTTTGGGTACAATTCGGGTGTTGCAACCGAAAAGGCTTTCCCTGATTTATTTGAGTTTTACACTTCGAAATGGTTAAATCAATTCGACCCATGTATCAAGCGAGAACTGTAAAGCAAATAGCATCAGCTTACAACTTTGAGTTTTTTTCGGATAATAAGCTGAATCTATTAAAAATATTTTTTCGAAGAACGAGTTTAAAGATATTTGTTTAAAGCCAAATTTTTGTTACTTTTTATACCCTTACAGAGGGTTTGGTAGTTTGTCTTTGGTCAAATATACTAGGGGCCAGCCAACCATCGAACAGACTATTTGACCCAAGAATTACTAATTAAAGTTTATGTAGGGGTTACCATATAAAATAGTTATAGTTTGATTTAATCAAAGCCTATGCGCCATTGAAGTAATTTGTTCACCTCTATTCCCAACCAACTTGATGCGGTGAACAGGCTTAAAAAAATACAAGGAAAAAACATATTTTAATGCCAATAGGCCTGCACCTTTTAATAAAGGTATTCTTGAATACTTTTATATTTTTTATTAAATATTTAAAAAGCTGACAGTTTAAAAAGAAAAGTTCTGCTCTTCTCGGGGGGTTTCACTTTGATCACGGTGTATCTAAAAATTTAACGCTGCATTAAATATAAGCCATGTAATTTACAATAACTAACAGGTCGTTATGAATATTTTCTTTGAGTTCTGTATTATTTTCATAACATTGCTTAACTAAACATGTATATTTCCTATTTGGGAGTTCTAATTTTAATGGCGCTTATTGCCTTTGACGTAGTTACTGCAAACAGCAAACTCTCCCATGCAGTTGGAAGATTGTTTGGACTTCAAGACTCAGATGAAAATATGAACGATTTCGACGAATCAGAAGATCCCGACGATGTTATAAAAGAAATGATTGGAACTCAAGACTCAGATGAAAATATAAACGATTCCGATGAATCGTCTTCCATCCATCAAAAGAAGGTGAAATTACGAGGGCGCCAGAGGAGTTTCATACGGAATCCCAACTATGTCAACGCAAACAAATATTTCGAAAAGATATTTAAAAATGAACATGTAAGAAAACTTTATATGGAGCATGAACTGCCTCATCCAGGATTTGGAAATAGTGAACAGTAGAATCCGAGAAATTTTCCTGTTGGCGTTTTATATTAGAGCCGATATAACGGCGACCATAATGATGACGACCATTTAATCACGGTGTATCTACAAATTTAACGCTGCATTAAATATAAGCCATGTAATTTACAATAACTAACAGGTCGTTATGAATATTTACTTTGAGTTCTGTATTATTTTCTTAACATTACTTAACTAAACATGTATATTTCCTATTTGGGAGTTCTAATTTTAATGGCGCTTACTGCCTTTGACGTAGTTTCTGCAAACAGCAAACTCTCCCATGCAATTGGAAGATTGTTTGGACTTCAAGACTCAGATGAAAATATGAACGATTTCGTCGAATCAGAAGATCCCGACGATGTAATAAAAAAAATGATTGGAACTCAAGACTCAGATGAAAATATGAACGATTCCGATGAATCGTCTTCCATCCA